TTTATACATTATGAGGTAAAGGATCTTAATACTTTGTCCACAACAATATTTAATGAGGTTAACTTATAACGTTACCCTGCTTGTGGTCAGTCTGCACAAGATCAACAAGCGTGTTTGCGTTGCGTCCCCTTTAAATACAAGATAAGCATTCGATCTACGTCAGAGCATCAGAGCGTCCACAAATCTTTCTACAGCGTTGTTGGCAGGGCGGCCAGAGCGATTTTTGACGCTCTCGACGGCGGCGGTGTGAACGCACAGTTACTGTTTCAACTAATGTTCAAAAGTTTGGGGTCAGATTTTGTTTTTTATAATATTTAATATAATATATATATGAATCCATATATATGTCCAACCGCAATGTCCAACTGTCCTGAGCACGTTCACAACATACGGCACGTGACGCGTGTACGTGCTCTGGCATAGAAGACATAGATATGGTGTGTTAAAAATCTTAGTTTGTGTTCTACTGAAGAAACAAAGTCACCTACATCTTGGATGCCCAGGGGGTAAGCAGATAAACTTCAAATTTTCATTTCAATTATCCCTTTAAGGAATGATTAAAATGATTCACAGTCAGACAAACATGTGTCGGCATGATATTGAATGAGACTCACAAAAAATTTGAGTAAAGTGCCATCAGAGTTGCAGCACCAGGAGCGACGGCCCAGGTATTCATGCGCTGTGTTCAGAAGCATGAGGGAGGAGGGCAGCAACGGAGTATCATCCTCTACAGAACACAAACACACACAGCTGTGTCAACAACACTGTAAAACACTACGACATACTAAGATTATCGCAACACTGAAATGCTGTTATCTTTCTTTATTCATACCATCATCATCCTCATCTGCGATGTGCTGCCGCAGCATGCAGTCAAAGGCTGCCTCTTCCTGTTTGATGAGGCGGTACAGCAGAATCCATGGCAACAGCGATGAAAAATGAGCCTCTTTGGGGTCATCAGGTAAGACCATGCTGTTGGCTATCAACTAGAGAATGAACACAAAAACAGCAGGTAAAAAATGAGAAGAATGATCATGTAAACGGTAATATTGTGAAATAGTATTATAATTTAAAATAACTGTTTTATAGCCATTCCTCCGGTCTTCAGTGTCACACGATTCTTCAGAAATCATGCTGATTAGCTGCTCAAGAAACATTTCTTATTAATATGATCGTATAGCAACAAACACGCTCCCATGAATCCGCACGGACCTGTATGAGGTTGTTGGCGAGGCGCGGTAGGTATGCGGGTCGAGGGGTGTGACTGAGCAGCTCAGGTTTTTCAGTGATGCAGCTTTCGACGCCCTTCAGCAGGGCCGTGACGGTGGACACCCACTCCTCCTTGGCAGAGGGGCTGCTGGGTAATCCAGAGTTCAAGTGCTGTATGGCCTCATTGAGAGACACTTCAGATGTCTCGAGGCAGGAGCTGTAGTCTTTCAGTCGCAGCAGGGAGCTCTGGTGAGAGAAAAAACAAAGACGGATGTGGAGTCAACAGGTTAAGTGTCTGAAAACGTCACACTTTTGTAGAATTGAGGGTTGAGGAAATGTTCGGTCACATTTAAGACAAATGGGATATTGCACACTTTGAGTAAAGCTACTCATTATTCCCATAATAACTAGCTTTTAACATGCTCGCTCTATCATTTTGAGCTCTGATATGAATTGACCTGATCCACACAAAGTATATGAGAAAAATATGATGTGTTTATGAGACAATGCGGTAACACTTTACTTGAAGCCCGTATATACAGCAGACAAAAAGTATTCATAATGGCTAATTATATATATTGCAATGTATTATACACTTCCTTTCAAAAATTTGGAGTTGGTAAGAGACTTCTTTCAAAAACATTTAAAAAGCCTGCAAACTGTAGCATTGTCAAATATTGTTACAATATAAAATAACTTTTCTATTTGAATATATTTTAAAATGTAATTTATTTCTGCAATGGCAAAGCTGAATTTTCATTACTCCAGTCTTCAGTGTCACACGATCCTTCAGAAATCATTCTGATATGCTGATTTGATGCTCAATGTATCAACAGATACATTTTGGATTCTTTGATTAATAAAGTTTAAAAAATAAAGAAAAAAATTTATACAAAATTATAATTTTTTATAAATGTAACATTAGAAATGTCATATTTGATCAATGTAATGTATAATTTTTTTTATATCCCGAAACGTTTAGTGCATATTTTCAAAAATAATTGTAAACACAGTTATAATACATGATAATACTTTACATACTCATGGTTATGTTATTAAATAAAATTGTTCACACCAAAATTTTAATTGTTCTGCTTGCATATTTCATTTATGTTTATGATACTTTAAATAACTACTCCTTTAAAGATCATAACACTTCATAACACATAAAATAAAACATGAAATCATCATGTTTTTCATTTATTATACTGTTCACAAGGGATAAAGTACTGTCAGCTGGTCATTATCGTAAAGTAAACCCTGACAGAATGATCAGAACCACAGATGTAAGTCATGAAGGGGCTTATTTTGCATTAATGACTGTACATTATGCTGCTTATTACAAAGCTACATAATAAATAAATATTAGGTCACATGAATGATTTATAATGCATAAATAATAACTTTGTGATGCATTATACATACAGGCTTTGCAGAAAGTGTTGATGAGAATGCTTGTGTGATTTACCTGCAGCAGTAAGAGCTGTGCTGGTCTTTCAGGAGCAGAGCTGATGTAATCTAGAGGTTTCAGTCGTGCCGAGCTGGGGCCGAAGCTCAGTGTGGGCTGCAGCAGACGGACCACAGACTGGTAGTCTCCCGTGTCGAACAGTCTCTGGATCTCCTCTAGAGACTGACATCGCTCTAGAGACTTCAACTTCTTCTCAATCTAAATTATATATATACAGTGGGTACGGAAAGTATTCAGACCCCCTTAAATTTTTCACTCTTTGAGTGCTGCAGGCTTATTGGCTCACTGACGCTGATGAGATTAACCCCTTAGTTATCGAAATTTGGTACCGAACGATGAGACTTTTTCGATACTCGATGGTATCGAGGCATTTCGGTCGGTGCCTAAAAAGTATCGAACTCGATACCCAGCCCTACCAGACTGATGAATAAATATCGGAACAGCACTTAAGACTCTTCTAGAGTGACTCTTGTCTATGAAACAGAAGTGACAGTGTCTTGAGAGATCGATTTCTTTTGTACTGTACCTCCTCTATAGAGATGGCATTGTCCACGCTGAGGTTGGGCAGGAGGACGGTGATTTTTTCCATCTCACTTGTCTGACATTTCAGCAGACCGACACACATGTCGTAACACTCCAGCGCCTCCTCCATGTCACCCTAAAGCATCACATTAACATTCATGCATACAGGGCAAAAACTTCACACAGGTAATCATTATTTAAATGTAAACTGTAATTTCTCTAAATATACTCTTATCTATAAGCAAGTCAGCACCAGTCAAGATAATCAAGTGTTTTAATATGATACAATTGGTGTTTTAATTGGCGATTCTGTGTCTAGAAACTGAGCTCCATTACCTGAAAGGCAAGGTATCGTGCTTTGAGCCAGTGAACTCTGACGGCAAAAGAGAGCCAATCGTCTTCAAACAGATCTCTCTGAGAGGAGGCCATGGTCAGAAGGAATATATCTGTCTGAAAGCGTGTCTCTGGACCATCAACGTCCCCACAATCCCTTCCTGAGCCAGACATGGTCTTCCTCTGAGACACTGTAAATACATGACATTGGTGTGATTCCTTTTCACGATTTGTGAAAAACACAACTGATGTCAAACACAACACAGATGTCTGACTGTTTGTGACGTTCTTACTGTTCTTGCCCTTCATCATGGACTTCTGCTCCAACTGCAGCTCCAGACAGCAGAGACACATCAGCATCATTTCCTGTTATATAACAGACAGTACAATATGTCTTAGATGTACTGTATATAAAAGCACACTGTGGTCAGACCTGCAAACATCTATTACATGTGACTGATATGTACATGCAATTGAATAGTTGAAAAATATTCAGTTTAAATCTGTTAGTAGCATGTAAACTAGAAATCCTCAACCACAACTGTATATTTTACTTTGTTTTAGAGTTACACCTAGGAAATAACTGGTATTCATTTACAGTTAGACAAAGTGAAATTCTTCAAGTAAATAAAAAAAAGTGCGGTTGACAAGGATAAAAATAAATATATGAATCAGGCACATCTACTACAATTTAATGAAATATTAGCAATATGCACTACAAAAACATTAAAAGTTTGAGGTCAATAAGATGTATTTTTTTGAAAACATGAATAATTCACCAAAGATGCATTAAATTGACACTAACCTTAAAAAGTTTGGGGTCTGTAGATATTTAATTTATTTATTATTTTTAAAGAAATTCAGCAAGAACACTTTAAATTGACAGCAAAGACTTTAACATTGTCACAAAAGATTTCTATTTCAAATAAATGCTGTTTGAATGTATGTTCATCAAAAATACTAACATGCACCACAAAAATACTAAGCAGCACAAATGTTTTCAATGTTGATAATGAGAAGAATTGTGTTCAGAGCAGCAAATCAGCATATTAGAATGATTACTGAAGGATCATGTGACACTGAAGACTGGAGTAATGATGCTGAAAATTCTGACTAATTTTTTTACTTTAAAGTGTAATAATCCTGTTAGCTTAAGATAAACGGTTTTCTTCATTCAGTTTAAGTTTCGTTTCTGGTCTTGTATGTTAATTGTATAGGTTCATTTACATAACAGAGAGTGTCTGTGACCTCGATTTTCCTAAAAACACTCAATAAGTTATTGGTCTCTGTCTGATTTTCAGTAGACCCACTGGGAGAAATACACTAGGTTCAGGTGGCATGATGAATAGAGTTTTGTTTCCAGGCAGGTGCAAGCAGTATGTGTGCCAAATGATCTCCTGCTGAGGAAAAAAACTCCTTTAAGTGAACACGTGTAGCTATTTCCTTCTATGTGCTGATGAATAAACATGCTTCCAAGTCATTCTTTTGTTCCTACAACAGTTTTCTTTCAGTCAGTCCCACTTATGCAGACTACTGGAATAATAATGTGTTTAGCATTTGGCAAAAACACTTATATAAAAAAAATAAAAAAAACCTTTTTCAGCATCTCAAAATGTAAGTATTTACTGAAGTGCATAGAAGAATTATAATTCCAAAAGATTTCTAAATGTGAAAATACATTAAAATGCTTTTTTTCCCCCTCTCAAACAGACAGTAGCCAAAACTAAACATACAGGTGTGCACGTGGAAATCTCCTTTACTTGCTACTAAGTGCCTCAAACAAAACCATGAATATCTTTCAAAGTTGTGCTGGCATGAACCTCGCAAACAGGCTCACCTTTATGTGCTGGTTGCTGGAATCTCTGAGCAGTGGATTGGGCAGCCCAGCGCTGTGTTTCCTCCAGCAGTTGAACAGATCCAGCACCACTGTGCTGAGGCCCGCTGGCCACTCCTCCAGAAACTTCTGCCCCACCACCTTCAGATACCGCATCATCAGCTCCAGGATGCCGCCGTTCTGCATGTTCGCCAACAGGAACGCGTGAACGTCCTTCCGCTCTGAGGAACCATGAAGGACAGAGAGAACAATTAAAGGTCCACTGAAGTGCCTTGAAACACGCAGCATTATGCTATGTGGTGACGTAATTTCAACTAAAACAGGAAGACGGGGCGGGACATATCGAGCAGCCCCGCCCCCCTTTTAAATAGCCAATAGCGTTTCAGCTTGGGCCAGAGGCCTTTGAGCTCGGTAAAGCCGCATTTGACAGCTTATGACAGCCTCGGTCTAATAGATTAGCCCTTTAGATTCAATATGAAACTGTTACTAAAACAAAACAGTGATTATAATGATGCTGAGGATGTGTAGTTTGAAGATTGTGTCATTTATGTTGGTGCAGGGCACCGGTGTTACCTCTTCTACTCGTTAGTGCCGTTTGTCTAACCGTTTCTCCTCCTAATCTGATCCAAATCACTATACAATACAGCATTCTGTGTAGAATTCAAATTGGTCCGATACATTTTTATGGTATGCGCGACTCTGTGATATCGTGTCTCTGGACCGGAGCAGACTGTGTGCGCGCTGCGGTGGTTCACGTACACAACACGAAACCAGACTTCTTTCGACCCAATGGAAAGCATATTTACACTGTCTGAATCGTTCCTTATTTCCCATATAGTGCACTACGGGCCATTCAGCATACAGAAAATACTACTTCTGTGAACAAGTGACCTATTTCAGCCACATCGTCAGCATCTATTTATAGTGTAGGGGGCGGGACATTTCAGATTCTAGAGAGCATTTGATTGGACAGAATGTTTGACAAGAAGCTGAAGTGCAGGGTGACGTCATCAAAATCGTTGATCCATATTGCCGGAAGCGCGAGACTGTAAGTTTTGAATGCTTATATCTTCTAAATGCGAATTTTGTCATTGTTTTGGAGCACTCTAGCTAATAGATAACCTTAAGGCTAACATATTCATACTAAAAAACAAAAAAACTTCAATTTTGATTTCATGGGGACTTTAAAAGAGGAGCATAAAGAATTAAAACGGTGACTAATAAGAAAACCTCAGTTTCTGTACCTGTCTCCACAGAGATGATGTACTCGGAGGAGTTGGATCCGCGGTTCGACTGGGAGTCAAGTTTGCTGTCACACTGTGAGCCCATGTTACTGAGACTCTCCTCATCTTCATCATCTTCAAACTTTTTCAATCTGGAAATAAAGCTCAAGTCAATGTGACATAAAGGAAGACTTTTTGAGAAAGTTCTTGACTTTCTAAGAACATGATTGATGTCTAAAATACAACTATGTGCAGCAAGACTTCAGTCTAATGTGTTTTCACTGCTAGGATTCACTCAGCATGACAAAACAAAAATAGAAACCACATGACCAACAAAACGTCTTATAGTGCATTGCTTGATATGGTCAGAGCAGGTTAGAACAAAAGCCCTGAATAGATTAATATTAAAATGAACACCTAGAGGGGAGGAATTTGAGCAGGAGTTCTTGGAAGTCAATCTTCTCTTCTTTCTTGCATCTGGTGTTGCGGACACGTGCTGAGCGCCTCTTCGCCGTCTCTACGGTGTCCTCTACCACACGTTTTCTCTTAGTGCCTTTTTTCACTTTGTCATTCAAGGCAGCGTCCAGAGCTGTAGGGTGAATAGCAATGACATCATCAGTGTCATATGTGTCAAAACTACTGAAAACAAATGCTAAAGTGACTTGCTGACCCCAATCTTCTGAACAGTACTGTATATATGGTTTGGGTGGTAAAATACAATTTTTAATTTTAAAACAGCCAAATTATGCATACAGTGTCAATTTAATGTGTTTGGTAGCCCACACAATCAAAGTGCATTTTGAAAATAAATACAGCAATATGTAATGCACTAGATTATTAAACAATTCTTGTTCTTGGTCATAGTTAACTTGCGTTTCTTAAGCTAACGGCTTTTTTTTTTTACTATCAAATAGTAGGAACTTAATTCAGTCTCAAATGTCAACAGACAATCTGCTTTGTACTCCAGAATCAAAATGTCACCACAAAAAGATTAAAAATGCCTTAAAATAAAAATAAATACGTGAATAAATGAAAATAGTCCCCAGCACGCTCCCTGTGCAAGCAGGTGGTCACGTTGGTTATGTTGACGGAAGTTAGCCTATTTTCAAGCGCTGCGTAATATCATTGCGCCTGCTGCACCCATGGTACGGCAGCAAAGTTCCTTGATTATTACGCCGGAATGAGAGTATAGTTCCTAGCCATATCGGCCTAGAAAATCGCAACTTTTCATTTTCCGTCGGTCTTAGTACACGATGTAACTACAGAAGAGTCAAGTTTTAAATAGGAAAAATATCGAAACTCTTTGGTCATTTTTGAGCGAGATGCTAACGGTCTAATCAGATTCAATGATCTATGCTAAGCTACAGCTAAAAGTGCTACCGCCAGACCCGGAGATCGGCTGAATGGATTCGAAAACGGTAAAACTCAACTGTTTAACTCTAGGGGATTTGGAAAATGAGCCTATTTTCAAAAATAGTGGAGTGTTCCTTTAAGTTAGTTAGTTTTATTTTATTATTAATTTTTGAAGGCACTTTTGATCTTTTTGTGATAGGAATCCTCACATCCAGAGCTCTGCAACATTACAGGTGAGAGACTACATATATGTGCATGCGTCATGTCTACATTCACACTGACCAGCAGTAGTAACCGTGGTAACGGTGGCATCCTCAGTTCCATTGGCAGCAGTAGTGGTGACTGTGGGTGTAGTGGTGATCTCAATGACGTTCTGGTTCTGCAGCGCTCCTGCATCAGTGCTGGGCGGGGCCTGCAGCTGGACAAAGAACTCGGTGGATGGGTGCAGACTGGCACTCGGGCTACTGGGACCTGGAGGAGGGGCAGGGGGGGCCTGAGGTACACTGACGGGTATGGGGGGTTGAGGGGGGTCTGAAGCAGCAGTGGCAGCAGGCGCTGGAGTGCTGGTGGGCATTTGCACGAGGCAGTCCGGGTCACGGTACATTGACAGGTCGATGCGGCGGCCGAAGTCAGGCCGTGGGACCAGGCAAGCGTTCTGGTGTTTGTACATGGCCAAGAAACTCTCCCCAACGCTCTTCCACCTATACGGATAAAATACATCACACAGATATACAGCAAAATAATACTTATTCACATATTCTCAATACAATACATATTAATAAAGACAAGACATAATTTAAAAGAAAGCATTATATATTATATATTATATATTTGTAACTATATATATATATAGTTACAAAAGATTTATATTTCAAATAAATGCTGTTTTTTATCTTTATATTCATTAAATAATCCTGAAAAGAAAATCTACAAAAAAAGGTTTCCACAAAAATATTATGCAGCACAACTAATTTAAACATTGATAATAAGAAATGTTTCCTGAGCAGCAAATGAGCATATTAGCTTCGCATCACATGAATCATTTACATTTTTAATATATTAAAAGACAAAACAGTTCTTTTGAACTGTAGTAATATTATACAATATTACTATTTTTACTGTATTTTTAAATTAAATAAATGCCGCTTTGGTGAGCTTAAGAGACTTATTTCAAGATTTTTTTTTTTTTTTTTTAATTACTGACCCCAAATTTTTTTATCAGCAGACAGTAAAAATATGCAGAAATCTGTCATCCGGTATAAATATATGTGTTTTGAAGAATAATCTATAAAAATATTAAAAAGTGGCTATTTCTTTTATACCGCTGATGATGAAACATAAAATCATCAGTTGCTTTTTTAATTTTTTATTTGTCACAGAAGCAGCCCATAGACATAAATAAATCACATAAATGGTATTAAATGTTATTTTAATGCTTGATTAATTATTTTATTAAGTATAATGATAAATGTTACTGAAAATATCGGGCTACTGGGTCCTGGAGGAGGGGCAGGGGGGGCCTGAGGTACACTGACGGGTATGGGGGGTTGAGGGGGGTCTGAAGCAGCAGTGGCAGCAGGCGCTGGAGTGCTGGTGGGCATTTGCACGAGGCAGTCCGGGTCACGGTACATTGACAGGTCGATGCGGCGGCCGAAGTCAGGCCGTGGGACCAGGCAAGCGTTCTGGTGTTTGTACATGGCCAAGAAACTCTCCCCAACGCTCTTCCACCTATACGGATAAAATACATCACACAGATATACAGCAAAATAATACTTATTCACATATTCTCAATACAATACATATTAATAAAGAAAAGACATAATTTAAAAGAAAGCATTATATATTATATATTATATATTTGTAACTATATATATATATAGTTACAAAAGATTTATATTTCAAATAAATGCTGTTTTTTATCTTTATATTCATTAAATAATCCTGAAAAGAAAATCTACAAAAAAAGGTTTCCACAAAAATATTATGCAGCACAACTAATTTAAACATTGATAATAAGAAATGTTTCCTGAGCAGCAAATGAGCATATTAGCTTCGCATCACATGAATCATTTACATTTTTAATATATTAAAAGACAAAACAGTTCTTTTGAACTGTAGTAATATTATACAATATTACTATTTTTACTGTATTTTTAAATTAAATAAATGCCGCTTTGGTGAGCTTAAGAGACTTATTTCAAGATTTTTTTTTTTTTTTTTAATTACTGACCCCAAATTTTTTTATCAGCAGACAGTAAAAATATGCAGAAATCTGTCATCCGGTATAAATATATGTGTTTTGAAGAATAATCTATAAAAATATTAAAAAGTGGCTATTTCTTTTATACCGCTGATGATGAAACATAAAATCATCAGTTGCTTTTTTAATTTTTTATTTGTCACAGAAGCAGCCCATAGACATAAATAAATCACATAAATGGTATTAAATGTTATTTTAATGCTTGATTAATTATTTTATTAAGTATAATGATAAATGTTACTGAAAATAACCCATGATATTCCTTCAAACAAAATGTAGCACAAATTCTCTGTGGATTAACAGTGGCATGGACTCACGTGAAGTATTTGATGGGCAGAACCAGCTGCAGGTCAGCTACAGGATGCCGTGTGAGTTTAGCCTGTCTCTGTCTCCTCAGCTCCAGCGCTTCCTCTACAATGCTGTGGGCTTCCTCCTCATCTACATCCACGTACTGCACTGACACATCACTGCAGCCAAAACACATGCAGACACAAACTCAGGGTGATGAACATTACAAAGTTTCTACGTCAACTGTATAAATGATGAATGCCACATTATAAGCTCAGCTGAATGAGTAGGAGAAGGTACATACAGTTTGGAGAACATCTTCATAGAGTCTCGTCTGAGGCAGGGCTGCTCTTCAAAGATCTTCTCTTTGAGCACTCGCCCCTTACTGTAGCCGGTGTCCTTCTCCAGAGCCTTACAGATGTTGTACAGGCAACCTACGGGACAAAAAGAACAGAACATAATGCTGTGACTTCTCTGCTAACTCAGAATATGATGAAAAGCTAGCGGCAGGAAATCCAAAAGAACTACAAACCTTTATGCCCACAAAGATTACATAAAAAAGCATTCACAACAGGAATTGCTTACTTGTTCAGTGGCCTTGGCTCCAAAAGTACTTTTCTCACATAATACATGTCTACATTAATAACAATTCGACATGAATATCCCTCATTTCTGCCACAATACCATGGTGCAGTTAGTGTTACTACACTAGTGATTCATTCCATTTTTGGTGGAAACATTACAAATAAACATTATATCGAACTCTTCATTTCGTTTTATCGAGGGAAAATTATATCGCGATAATTATCGTTATCGTTTTATCGCCCAGCCCTATCTGCTTGTATGTTGTACAGAGGTTTTCTGACTCACAGCTGTAGTCACTGAGAGCGTAGAGGACCGTGATGAGACTGTCCAGGCAGGGCCAGTGGTCCGGGTTACAGCGTAAGCCCACCTCAAACGCATGGCGGGCCAAAGGCATGCTGGCCTTCCTCAAAGCCAACTTTCCCATCTTATACCACATATTCACATCTGTGGAGTCCAGCATGACAGCCTGCAAGACACACAGACATTCAGAGACTCAGCTGTGTCCAAACTGTCTGTCCAGTGGCTCTCACTGTTACACTGGAGAAGTTAGTATCATGTTAACATTAAATGCAACTGCAGGACAAATTATTCACCTTAAACTTTGTGATTTTGTGATTTGTTCAAAGTACGCATTTACCTGCACATAGAAGTCCATGGCAGTGTCTAAATCATCTCTGAGCACAGCAACACTGGCCAGGTTTTTATAGGTGGAGTACTTCAGCATCAGTCCAGGATGCTTGAGTTCAACTTTCTCATCTTCAGATGCCACTGCCTGGGGAAAGAAAAAAAAAATCACTAATAATTAATTACACACCGTCTTTGAAAAATAGAAAGCAATAGCAAAGCTAAAGCTAAATAAAATGAAAGACATTCTGGATTTCATGGTAAGACGTTATAATGATCAGAGCTGAAAGAGTGTGCTGTACCTCCTTGAGCAGTGGGGTCTTGAGGAGCTCATGGTAGGCTTTGGCAGACTCGTCAAGCTTGTCATGTTTCTGCAGATCAAGAGCTTTATGATACAGAGCAAATGCTTCTGCCTCCTTAAAAATACAAATGAGAAGGAAACAGTTATATTGGATTGAACAATTTTATTAACCCTATAAAGCCTACTGTATCATATCTGATACACAAAAAGGTCTCTAATTGATCAGCATGACTGATGAAAAGCCCGTTGTTCACAATCTACTACATGCTTTCTGTCATCTGACTGATAGTTCATACTTTTTCAACAAGTAAATGGTCTTTTAGTGTAATTGTAAAAAAACGTCCCCCTTTCAGCTTGTGGTTCATGTGTCTTTTTGCTGTGATATCTTGACTGATTTTTATAAAGTAAATGTAAGAATAACTTTTATATTATCAGTAATATTTCAAGATGAACTCTCACTGGATTGTGAGTATTAAAAACCATCTATCAATCGTTTGATGAAGGTTTATTTGTTCATCTCTCAGCGTATTGTATTACATTGCATTATATGTTTTGGGCTCAGTTTGGGCCTCTGAATAAAAACAGGTGTTTTTGATTCTATAAATTTGAGCTACATATTCTCCTATATTATATTATATGAGCCATAAAAGCCTGATCTATCCAATATGATACTCAACAAAAAACACATATGCAAATGCTTTCATGTACATTTTGCCAAAAGGTTCAATAAACAGTTCCACTACTATTCATATGTCAGGCTTTACATGATAAAAAGTTACTTAAGAGAATCTGTTTGAAAGCATCTGACTCACCTGGGCTTCCTTTGTTTGACTAGGTTTAGTGCTTCTGACGGCGTCTTCATGCTCATCCGCAGCCTGAGACGCCGCATTCAGAGCAGCTATCCGGATCTGTGATTAGAAGAAGATACATGAATACAGTGAACAACTGAAATGAACAATATGACAGAAGCAGGTCAAATGCTCGTATGAGGTAGTTCAGGTCAGTCTAACAAAGCATAAAACATATACTATATATATACATATACTAGACTTACCATGTTTCTTCTTTATTAAGGATCATTCATTCCAATCATCAGCATCTGTTGTGGTGCAACATAATAAAAATAAATAAAAAAAACAATGAAAATTAACTGGTTAACTGGATCATAACCCTGAATTATTACATGACTATTACCAAAAAATTCAAAACAAACTGACATTAAATTGATTTGAGCTGACAGAAGCAGGTCAAATGCTCGTATGAGGTAGTTCAGGTCAGTCTAACAAAGCATAAAACATATACTATATATATACATATACTAGACTTACCATGTTTCTTCTTTATTAAGGATCATTCATTCCAATCATCAGCATCTGTTGTGGTGCAACATAATAAAAATAAAATAAAAAACAATGAAAATTAACTGGTTAACTGGATCATAACCCTGAATTATTACATGACTATTACCAAAAAATGAAAAACAAACTGACATTAAATTGATTTGAGCAGTGCTAGTTTATAATAGTTTATAATATCTCTCTCCTCTCATATAATATTTTTATATATAGAAAAAGACTTGACCACACAATATCAATCAGAATCTAGTACGGAAAGGCATAAATATATATGTGACCCTGGAGCACAAAACCAGTCTTAAGTCGCTGGGGTATATTTGTAGCAATAGCCAAAAATACATTGTATGGGTCAAAATTATTGATTTTTCTTTTATGCCAAAAATCATTAGGATATTAAGTAAAGATCATGTTCCATGAAGATATTTTGTAAATTTCCTACCGTAAATATATTATTATATATTATATATTATTAGTAATATGCATTGCTAAGAACTTCATTTGGACAAATTTAAAGGCGAATTTCTAAATATTTAGATTTTTTTTGCACCCTCAGATTCCAGATATTCAAATAGTTGTATCTCGGCCAAATATTGATCCTTCCTAACAAACCATACATCAATGGAAAGCTTATTTATTCACATTTATTTAGGTCATATGATATTGACATTACTGTATATCATTATATCTCTACACATTTATTGATAATCTTCTGGACTGTCCCTTGTACCTAATTTAGAAAAGAGGCATTTTGAAAGATTTTCAGTAAATGCATTAAATTGATTGTGGCATCAACAAGTACACATGGAACTGGTTACATCTATGCATCCAGCTGGTGGTGTGAAGGCAAACTTTATAACGTTTTATGTGACAGTCGACAGAATTTCAGAATATGCACAGAATAAATCGCATAATCAACACTTTGCACTTACCATAAACAAGATGCTATTTGATGAAATCAAATCATTCAAGCAAATAGCAACCACCACTATTTACACTAAGCATACATTTATTCTAACTTTTTTTACACTGTCTTTTTATAATTCACTTCATGCCTTTGTACAGGGTAGTTTAGCCCCAACAATGGGACAAGATTACCCCCTTTAAGATTTACAACGCTGTGCTATAACAATCAAATTGGCCAGTGTTTCCATTTCCTCAGACAGTATGTTACATATGCTAAACTCCCAATAACATGCCAATAAAAGTACATTGTTCTTGAGGGAGCATTTTCCCCAAAACGACACATTGTGCATTGATGGGAATCATGGCAGATTCCACTGCTAGCTTGATAAACAAATGCAAAATAATTCATCAGATGCTTCGCAAACATCAAAACGACGGTGTTGTTGCACACATTGGTTGTTATTTATTGTTAACAACGCTATGTTTATCAACCCCACTCAATAACAACAACAGGCTAGCAACGCTAGCAGCAGAAGCCCAGCTGACCTTACAAAGCTACAACGGTTCCATTTAACGCTCAATTTCCTAGTACTTTATAAAAGTGGAATACTTTCGTCGTGAGTCCAGTTGCAAAGCTGTGTTTTGTGTTTGCATGTCTGTTGTTTTGATGGAGAGCTGCTACTTACTTACCATCATGATCTTCTGCTCGGAGGAGAGTCGCAGAGGTGAAGTCAGTGTCGAGCGCTCCGATTGGACGAGTGAGCACACGCGCGGCCGCAAACAGCCAATCACGTGTTAGATCTCAGTTTTCAACGTCCTGTTTCTCAAATTGTTCGATAAAAAAAAAAATATATATAAATAAGTATATAATAATAATAATAATAATAAATATATAAATATTTGTTTTAAATTAAAGTAACAATTAAAGTTTAAAATAGTAAAAAAAAATTAAGTAATTAATTACTTTTAAATTTACAAGAAAATATCTGAGTTACTTTTTTTTCAAATAAGTAACGCAAGTTACTTTGTTTTCCCATTTATTCACTGACCGCTCTCCTGACCCTGTGATGAGGGAAATCGGGAGTGAGGTACAGAGACAGAGGCACAGCTTGAGTCAGGCTTTTTAATTTAACTTTTGATGTGAAAGGGCCTTTACAGTTGCCAAAAATATAACTTTTGGGTTTTTTGTTATTGCAAAATAAATAAGCAAGCCCAGGTCAGCTCAGGTGACAAAAAGTAACACAAAAGTAACGTAATGCATTACTTTCCATAAAAAGTCACTTGCAGTTAGTAACGCAATATTGTAATACATTACTTTTAAAAGTAACTTTCCCCGACACTGCTTATTAATAGATGACTGCCTAATGACCGATTGTACATTTACTTAAAACTATTTTCAAGAACTTATTAAAATTTAACTAGTTAAAAATATTAATAAACTATTTAAATAGTTTAAAATAATTTATATTGCATTGTATCATTGTTTTAGCAATACATAGGAATGTATTAATTTTCTTTTAATTGTCAAACTTCTATTGTGCATGACGTTTTTCAAAATAAATAATAATAATAATAATAATAAAGTCTGAATAGTATTTCTGAATCAAATAGCACACTGGCAAATTCAAAGACTCCGTTTAACATTTAATGTCATTCTGAAAAAAATCAAGTATTGTACACATCATATAGGATGTGCAAAAACTGATTTATTTTCAAATTAAAAATTATTTCTAAAAAAATCAGGACAACAATTAGCAGATGGCAAATTTGATTTCCCTGTTTTTAATCAATCACAAATATCAATCAATTTAGCAATCACACACAAATCTACTAAAAGTCTTATATAATAAGCTTAGTGTCACTGAACTGCAAACATACTATAAATAAAACGTCATAGTCTATAAATCTAAACAGCATTAATATCTATGAATAAAACACATATTGTACCTGGAATGACATGCAGCACTCCAACTTTTCAAACAAACATATAATAGGATTATAACAGGTCATTTACAGTCTCCGCATAACTCTCAATATACACTGGCCAGGTCAAGATGACAGCAGCAACAGATATTCAACCTGTTCCAGAGAAGCTCTTTACATTAACCGAGATCTCTCCAGCTGATTCAGCTCTAAAACCCAATCAATCCAGCAGCGCTTCTCTGGCCTCCTGAAGCGCTCTGTCTGCCTGAACCCAACTGAGACAGACTAGACGCTCTCGAGTTAAGAGCCGAGCACACGGATCCGTTCCCTCTGGAGGACTTTGAGGTTTTGGACTGAAGACTGACACTACTGACTGAGCTGCCTGAGTGAGAGCCTCCGCCGGCCCACTGGTGGTTTGAAGGGTCCGATGACTCTCTGCTCCTCTCAGGGGCCTCCAACTCAAGCGGCTCCTGTGAAGCTGGGGAGGCACCACACAAGCTGACTGGACTCAGTGGCACTTCCTGTTGAGAATGAGGCCGGGGAATGTCTTCAGTGTTAGCAGGAGGTTCTGAATGAGTCCCTGATTCAGGTTGAGGGATGTCTGCCTTCTGTGCGGTGATTAGAGAAATAATAATAATGTAGTTAAATAATAGTAAATGTAATTATTAAAAAATAAATACGCTATCATTCATAAGTTTGAGGTTGGTAAGATTTGTAACTGTTTTTCAAAGAAGTGTCTTATGCTCACCAAGGCTGCAGTTATTTCAACGGGGGGAAAAAAACAACAGTAATATTGTGAAATATTATGAAAGAGAAACCTTTTGTTGCATTATAAATGTCTTTACTGTAACTTTTTCATAAATTTTATGCAAGGTAAATTGATGAAAAAAGTCACAAATAAATAGAAAAATAAAAGTAAAAATATAAACTAATAAATATAAACAATATATTAACATGAATTAAAAATTTAATTCCTTTTAAAATATATCTTACTAACCCCAAACTTTTGAACGGTAGTTAATAAAATTATAATTCTTTATTTTTATTAAATAATTATTTTAATGTGTCTTGCTTCTCTGATTTCTACTCACTGCTAAACTCTCCCTCCTCTCCTCATTTCTCTGGTTCCCTCGGTCGGCGTGTGTCCTTGTCCTCTCTGTTAGTGTTGAGGAGAGCTGAGGATGTGCAAGAAGCCCAAAGTCTGACTGATCTATTCCAGCCATTGACGCAAACTGGCCAAGCCTAAAATGCAGCAAGAAATTACCAATTAATCCCAATTAAATTTTCAAAGGTTCAACATTTTAAAAATATTAATTTGGCATCAAGACTTTTGATGAAAAAAGGCATAAAACAGTAATGCATAAATCATTCAGTAGATGTAAAATGTGAGATCAGACAGACCCAGCGTCTTTCAGCAGGTCTAGGAATGCGTGGAATTTTTGGAAGGAGGATTCGATGCTTTCCAGCACATGTTCGTCCTCCAGAACAGAGGCGCTGAGATGGGCTTCAGACAGGGATTGATTCAGACTCCGTAAACGCTCATTCTCCAGTTCCAGCTACAGGAAGAGACATATTAATATACAGCCATGCAGGGCCGTCCTTAGCTGAGGCGGGGCCTGGTGCAAGGTAGGGAGCGGGGCCCCCCTCGGTCCGTTTGCCACGGGGCCCCCTCAAGTGAAGGGCCCGGTGCGACCGCACCAGTTGCCCCCCCCAAGGACGGCCCTGCAGCCACGTAACTTTTACTTTCTGAAATGTTATTCATATTTTTTCAAACTGAATAACTGGGGATACTTGTACCTCCACCAGGCGAGAGTTGGTTTTCAGTCTGTTGTTCCTCTCCTCCGCCAGCCTCAGACAACACTCTTCCAGCTCCACCTGTTGGTGAACATTACCCTTTATACTGTATATACAGTACAGTGGCACCAAACCATTTAACATCTTACATTTAAGCCACGCTATTAAAAAAAAATCATGCCATTACATTAGATTACAAAATATCAAAGTGCCACTGTATGTATAGTACTTCCATTTTTGGCCTTTTTTTTGTTTTGTTATAATCACAAAAAATCTGGAACTTTTTGTCATGACATCATTTGTGACCCTGGACCACAAAACCAGTCATCAGGGTCAATTTTTGGAAATTGAGATGTATACATCATTTGAAAGCAAATTAATGTCCTAATGATTTTTGGCATAAAAGAAAAATCTATAATTTTGACCCATACAATGTATTTTTGGCTATTGCTACAAATATACCCCAGCGACTTAAGACTGGTTTTGTGCTCCAGGGTCACATTTATACTTTTCATGAATTATATTTGCTATTTTTCTGATGTCCTAGACTTTCAGTCTTCAAACTATGGAAAGTAGTTATAAAATGAGCATTATTACATGATTATTACATAATAATCTAAACAGAAGGAAATAAACATAAGCCATTATCATATTTATTGTATGAAAATTTATATTTTTCAAAACATTTGACGGCCCAGTCATTTACCACCAATCCAAACATTTTCTTTTTTTCTAGGTTAGTGTACTTGTTTACAGCAGTAAGTAGACGAAGTATCTAATCAACTGCTAATTTTGACAAATTATGCAAAGTGTTTTTTATTATTTAATTGTGTGCATTTAGAATACATACAACACTAACTGTAAAATTAGCCATTTATGTTACAAATGTCATTTAACCCACAATAATTTCCTTTACTAAATGGTTTTAATCTATACAAATACATCAGAAGCACTGGAAATGTTCATGATGTTCATTACTGAAAAATTGAGGGAAAGAAACAGTCATGTGACGCATGCTGGAAAATGTTAATGGACAAATTAAATAAATCGTTTGAAAAGTGTGTTTTAAAGGGACAGTTCACCTAAAAATGAAAATTTGCTGTTAATTTACTGCGACCATCCAAGATGTACGTAACTTTTTTCTTGAGTAGAACAGCAAAGAAATTTTTTATGAAACCATGGTCCTTGATGATTAAAAAAAAAATGCAAGGCAGTGTCTACTGGCACTTTGAGAGTCATATACAGGCAACACAAAAATGTTCAGTTCACGAACGAATCGTTCTTTTGAATCGGTTCTTTTCAGTGAACTGGTTGAACCAGTTCACCAAATATTACTGAACCGTCTGAAACAGTTTACAGCTCGAGCTGCACAGATTAACAAGTTACTCAATCAAAACTCACTGAGTTCTGAATTCCTGAGTCCTGACCGTCACTCCGACTCGACAAAGCACCAGTGTATATGATCTTATGCTGCTGGTTTTTGCCGACTCATTCAGCGCTCCAGTCCCTCCAACAGTCACTGAGAACTGATGAGCTGCTGATAATATTGTAAATAATGTTCAGTTTCTTGCATAGACTGATTGGTTCGCTTCATAAGGCTTCAATATATCATCAGGAACCACGGGTATTCATGTTGTGTTGCCTTGATATGCTTTTTTGACTCTCAAAGTGACGGCAGCTGTTGACTTGCATTTTACGAATCACCAATTACTACGGATTCAGCTAAAAATCTTTCCTGTGCTACCGAATCCATGTGACCTTTCTGAATAGTCTCTCGTAACTAAAGTGAATTTTTTTTCTAGCTCTCTTAATATACACATGACAGAGAGCAACTGGATAGGCTGTTACTGTGGCACCTGTAATCGATTATTCTCTCTCTGTACTCGTCTGAACTGGTAGCTAGTGATTTTCTCCTGAGGACTCGGTACATATGCAGCATCCACCTCCTCTGACTCTGACTCCGTCTCCACGGTAACCCGCACAGAGGAGGCGTTCTGATGAAAAAAACCATCATGACATCCTCAACACATTCTACATTAACAATAATTAACAAGTCACTCTACTAAATGTATAAATATCGACGTAAAACTATTTACATAAAAGAATTTAGCAATGAAACAGTCCTTACTTGAAAACTCTGGTCGGTCAGCCCATCAGCCTGTGCTGCACCTCTTTATGGACAGACAAACAGAGACACATTTATGCATCTTACTGACGTGAATGGAAAAGCAGGATTGAATTGCTTCTCACACATTTGAATGCATTCTGGAAGAGTTCCTGTTCAACCTGTCTGAAATCTATCCTAAGACTGGTATCGCTAACATCTTTGTGCTTACCTTTGTAAGCCAGCCCGAGCAGCAGTGCACCATGGGACGTACCCCACTGAACCAGGCCTCCATACAGAGTTTACAGAGGAGGACCTCTGAAGATCATGTGACACTGAAGACTGGAGTCATGATGCTGAAATTTCAGCTTTGCATCACAGGAATAAAAATAAATTCAATTTTATAATATATAATAATATCTATCTATCTATATATATAGATAGATAGATAGATACATACAAACATTTATGTATGTATGTACACTACCAGTCAAAAGTTTTTGAACAGTAAGATTTTACTTTGTCAATTAAAAGTCTGTATATATATATATATATATATAAAGTAGATATTTAAAAAATTTACAGTATTACTGTTTTTACTGTTCTTCCAATAAAACAGTCTTTGTGAGCATAAGAGACTTCTTTCAAAAAAAAATAAAAATCCAAATCCAAACTTCTGAACGGATTGTAGCGCTGTATAGTAGTCGGAGTAGTTGTGTATCAATGCTTTGGATCATGCACATCGGATGCACCATGAATTTGGATCATTACCGATCAGTACTCGTGTCACGGTGGGGACCTAAATTGAGGTCCCCACGGGTAAACAAGCTAATAAATCACACAGAATTAAGTTTTTTGAAAATCTAAAAAAATGCACAAAGTTTCCTGTGAGGGGTAGGTTTAGGTGTATGGTTGGTGTAGGACAATAGAAAATACGGTCTGTACAGCAGAAAAACCATAACGCCTATGGAGTCCCCACAAGGATAGCTGACCAGACGTGTGTGTGTGTGTGTGTGTGTGTTGAAGAGTGACTTCTCAAACCTTTGACCCACAGGTCCTCTGTAAGCTCGCGGGAGAGTGCCATCACTCCTCTGTCTCCGATCAGGATGTTGTCATTGAGAGTAATTCTGCGCAGTCCGCTCATGGCTTCAAACTCTGCTCTCCTGTAGCGCAAAGTCTCCACCCACGCCGTGCTATGCCGTCTCATTGCATGGTGCTAAACAACAGATGAGCCTCATGAATTTGAGAAGATTTAAAACATTTCATTTTTTTTTAAATGACAGGTTATTCTTTTGGAGGAGAATTATTTAAGAAAACTTTCCAGGAATGAATAATGCTAACAAAAGTTCACTTGTACCTTTATGATGTTCGCCATATGCTCTGCTCCCTGCCACGTAATATTACAGGAAGTGAAATCCACTGTCTTAATCGTTGAGGAGTATTTCACACTCTGACAGATGACTGAATGACAGAACCATATAACAAAAGAAAAGTTTTTGCATTAATAATAAATAAAATAATACATTCAAAAATATATGTATACAACATTTGCAGAGCCTCATGAATTTGAGAAGATTTAAAACATTTAATTTAAATCACAGGTTATTCTTTTGGAGGAAAATTATTTAGGAAACTTTCCAGGAATGAATAATGCTAACAAAAGTTCACTTGTACCTTTATGATGTTCGCCATATGCTCTGCTCCCTGCCACGTAATATTACAGGAAGTGAAATCCACTGTCTTAATCGTTGAGGAATATTTCACACTCTGACAGACGACTGAATGACAGAACCATATAACAAAAGAAAAGTTTTTGCATTAATAACTAATACATAAAATAATACATTCAAAAATATATGTATACAACATTTGCAGAAGTACATCTCAATAAAGCTTCTCACATATAATAAATGGCATAAATCCTGATGCCAAAAAAAAAATAATTTTAAAGTCATAATCTGTCTGATGACTTTAACTCACCTTCCAAACCTTGATCTGCAATTGGACAGTGTGCTAAAGACAGATGCTCTAATGACACACTCTTAACTAAACCCTAAAGGGAAATTACAATGTTATTTGAACAAGTTCTCAAACAATACATAAAAAAGATTCAAATTTAATTAAAGTATTTAAATAATTTAATTTTAATTTGTATTGTTTAATTTTTATTGTTCAGTTTATATTTATTTAATCATTAAATAAATATAAACCAAACAATAAAAATGAAACAATAAAAATTTACATTTAAATTAAACAAACAGAAAATAAAACAAATTCAAACATAAATAAATCCCTAAAAACATCATAAATAAATTCAAATAAATAAATAACTTATACAAAGAAATAAAACATTTAAAAACAAAAAATGAATGAATGAACGAGGCATTTATATAAAATAAAATAAAACGCATAAAAAATACACCATAAATAACTAAAACAAATAAATAAAATAAAAATAAGTAAAGCAAAAATAAATTAACTGATTAAACAAAATAAATACACACATACATACACACACATAAAATTCTCAATATCAAAGACAGGCTAAATATTTCACTCAACCTTTGTGAGAACTGTGAGGTCTCTTTCTCTCAGTGGCAAACCATGTAGCTGAAGGGTCTTTAGGCTGCTTGACTCACACAGGCATTTTTGCACCGCCTTGCACAACTGAAAAGTCATATTCTTGGAATGAATCGCAGGGGTCTTCTTCTTATGAGACCTGTAAGAACCTGAGAAGATAAAGACACTCCATCATAATAAGATTCACCACACTGATGAATTTTGGTGAACTAGGACAGCTTCCTTAGCTAAAACACATCTATACTATACGTTTCTTTGCCACTTAATTTTATTACTTGAAAAAATGATAACTAGTACAAATTTTCTAGATGTCATGATGCAGTACATTACAAAACATGTGCAGTACAATGCATTTACAACAGATGCTTTTTCAACACTGTGCACTATAATAGATGTAAAAGAGATGCTGTGTGTTTGTCTGTTAACTAACTTTGAGCTGCAGTGCTGGTGAGGTGGCAGCGCTTGATAGCAACATGCTGGAGGTGTTTGTTGATGGCCAGGGCTGACAGGATGGGCGTCCAGTCCGCTAGACTGATGTGATCAGGGTTAAACTCTAACATCCCTCGACTCAGGCTGGCTTGCACCGCACGGACCGGAGCTGATCTCTGAGCCGCACACACGTGATCATAGTAACCTTCAAAATCCTGAGCGCCTCTCCGACGGATCTGCGCTGGTTCCAGCATCATGCAACCTAAACCAAGACAAATAGTGGAAAAATGTAAGATCTGGGGTCGAATCTAAAAGTGAACTATGACCATTGTGTGCTAGAGAAAGGCATAGACAATTAGACATCAGGGGGGAAAAAAGGATTTTCCTTGATTAAATGTGAACTTGTAGTGTACGTCAAATCTCAAAAGCATATTTTAAAAAATAAATGCTGATAATATAATATTAATGAAATAAAAGAGAGTATATTCATGACTATGTTTCTTAACACATGCACTTTTATAAAGTGCACTTCATATTAATTTCAAATGAATAGTTGTACTTTTTTTAAGTAAACATTTTTATGCTTTAATAATCTTTTGTCATGTTTTAAAGAAGAACACTTATGTTGAAGTTTTGACTAACATACTAAAAGCACATGTAAAGTACTTGATTATCATTTTAACTTAAGTGTGTTTTTTTTCAATATTACATTTAAAGTTAATATATTTAATTGTAATAAATGGCAGCTACATCATTACAAATGTTACGTATATATATATTTTTTTTAAATGACATACAAATTTCAATAGAAATGACATTAAAGTATATGTTAGATTACCGTAAATGCTTGTCAGTACATTCGGCAGTTGTACTTTAACCATATTTCAAAAACAATAGTAATTTTTAAATTGCATGTAAAGATGCACTTAAATGGTTCAAAAAAGCACTCTAAAGTACCTAACTGTATTTAATACAAATGTAAAGTATAATACATTTTAATTTACGCGTCCAAAAACATTACATTCAGTTTGCACATAAGTATGTATTATTTGCATAATAATACATGCATAATGTATCATGCATGTATTATAATGCATTGCATAATAATACATGTTGTACTGCATAATAATACATGATGATAATACATAATAGGATTTTTTTAAAGTGTGTTTCTTTTTCCAGTACAATACAATTGTTTTACAGGCACGGTAGCACAAACAGAGTGACAGTGAACAATTATCAAGTAGAATTAAGATAGAATTAAATGAACTGAGTGCAGAATGCGTCCACGTTAATCTCTGCTCATCGTAATAAATCTACTGTAAATCAAAGCATCAGCTAAACTTAACATTAGTAATGCAGAAGCCCTGTCTCTGCTGTCAAGAAAACAGTTCTCGCTTACTCTTTAGATCCTGGTAAAGTTAGCTGAAGGCGGAACTCACATCGATACACAAAAACTCGCCAGAAATAGCTCATTTGGTCAAGATATTCCTCAAAGCTCTGCCAGTGATAGGTTTATGCTGTGCATCTGTAATAACAATCGCGGATTTGTTGCTGTCTAAGCTTCAGCAAGCGGTTTAGAGCTGATTTGGTCTTTTTCTTTGAAGAGTTGAGAGCTTGTTACCTGTTTATTCGCGCTGTTGTGGTGGTTTCCACTCTAGAGACTGATGATAACAAACTCACTCAGCGTGTCAAATCCATAGACTGTATGGTCAAAACAAACCGCGGCGGTTTGAAAGAGAAGCAGCGTCTCCTTCTGCGCGTCAAACTCCGTCTGCGCGTCTGCTCTCAGCGCCTCCTCCTGGCGGGAGTTTCACAACAGCAGCACTATGTAACTTTTTCTGTGTTCAAAACTTGCAAAATGTATATAATGAGCGAGTACATCATGAATTAATCTTCCAAACCGCGTTTTTGTCTTATTCCGAATCACTACGGTACACTTATAATAAGTACTTGTATTTGGACTATTGTAGCCTGGTCGGGTCGTCACCGCTGCGGAGTAACACATACCTGCGTGAATCGCCATAGACATAAACTTAGAGAAGTAGCTCCGGTTGGAATGTTCTTCCGCGGGATGTGTGCAGTATTCCTCTAATAAGGAATACAAATATCTTGCTTTGGGACATTTCATCCCTTTTAATGTCTCCAAACATATTACAAATCCCTCGTTGAAAACCACTAATCGTGGAGGTATTTTGAAAAATTTACAATTATGAATGTAAAATTTCAGCAAAAGCAACAAATTATGTATTACATAAGATATCTTTTTTTCCTTAATTAACAAACCAAACTTAACAATTTCCCATGAGAGGATCAGTCTTGCAGGTATTCTTTGTTGCATCCATCTAAATGCATCATTCCAGAATTCAAGCACCGAGTTACACTGAAAAAAACAAGTGTTCAACCGTTTCTATGTCTAATTTGCATATTTGGCATGTATTTGAGTCCCCGATATTAAATCTTGTTCTTAAAAATTATTTTGCAAGGTAGGGTACAACGGGGCTAAAGGCGCCTTTGATATTATTTTCATCTAAACCACTAGATGACAAAAGTGGCGTAGCACTTTCCAAAACATCCGCTTTTCAAGATGCACGTGTATATTTGTCTGAACCTTGACGTGATCGCGCGCAGCAAAGTTGATTCTGTGCTTACTTGATCTAATATTTGACTTGACGCGATCACGTGCAGCAGCGCAAAGTTGATTCTGTCCTTACTTGATCTAATATTTGATGTTTTGTTTTTTTTAAATGTTGTAGATTTAAGTAGCAAATGAGAATCGCTCAAATTAATGCAGATATTTTGAGACAACGGTCTTCTTTATGATTTTCAGTTTTGTTTAAGATAATTAAAGCAACAGTTTTTAAATAACGAAAGAATATGTAAAACAAAGTATGGTATTTGGGGTAAAAAGTGCCCCTGCTGTTGGGGCTAAAGACACACATTAATTAACATGATAATTAATAGATGGCTGACTTTTCCATTTCTTGACATGACTTGGTTAGATTCAGATGGTAAATATCATATAGGCCTATTATGTTGGGTGTCCATATTAGAGATAATCACCATGTTTAGAACGAAACCATCATATTTAAAAACATGATATTAATCATATCATATAACAAAATATCATTTGTTGTTACTACTGTAAATATATATTCAATTATTATTATTGGATCTCCTTCAATAGGCTACTTTTAGAATCTTTACTTATTAAAATGATTTTGTTTCTGTATTTTAAAATATATGTTTTTATATTAACGTATTTTAATGACAGTATATTTATTGAACAAAAATGAATTCTTTTATTTTTCAAAATAAGCAGAAAATAGTACAAACTTTGCTAAAGTGATTGTTTTGAACATGTATTAACTTAGACATTATTAAAAAAAAAAAAACATTATTTTAGCTGAAGTATTTGTATCAGTACCGTGTGCCTTTTACCCCGTGCTGGTGGGCCTTTTACCCCGTGTGTGGGGTAAAAGGCCCCTCTTGCCACCTCATACTTTTATTAGATTTTTAAACAAAATAAACAACTTGATTTATTTTCACACAAAATCTGTTGCTACATTAATGTTCAATACAACGTATATATTTTTTCTGCAATTATACATTTTAGGCACAGTGAATAGCAAATTTTTTCTTAAGGTGGGCCTTTAGCCCCGTTGTACCCTATATGTGATTCATAATTTTAAAGTGCACTTATTTACATTTAGGATTGACAGGAAATGTAAGAAAATTGGACCTAATTTCAGCCACTATTTTCTTATCATAATTACAAAATATATAAGATCTCTTTACAGGTCCTGGAAAACAATGCTGTAATAAACAACTCCTCAAAAATCTGTTAGAGGATTTTTTTTATCCGCAAAGTTAACATTCTCTGTCATAAGTTCATGTTTTTTCACTTGTTCCTTAACTAATTTAATTATCTGCAATGGTATACTCTTAATAATTTTATCATACACTTTAGAGCAGTGTTTCCCAACCTTTTTTTAGTTGCGGCACCCTTTGGAAATTTTAACAAACTTGTGGCACCCTACAAAATAAATTTTGTCACAATATTTGAATTTCTAACTTCGATGTGATAATTTGAAAAGTATATTCGGTACAACAGGGAAGAACTGCAGAATATAATGCCATACAGATATTTTTAATATTATCTGTCACAGTCTTCAGCGGGTGTGCCCAGGATGGCCACCAGATGACTGTGTTCTGTGAGCACATGGCTTGTGTTGTGTTTGTTGCCATGTGCTCTCTCCTGTCTATTGTCTGACCCCGCCCATCTTGTTACCCCATTATTGTTTAAGTTGCTCCACCTGTGTCTCCCTCGTTAGCCTCCTCGTTTGGTTTCCCATTTATTCTCCTGGTGTCTGTAATCCTGGGCTGATCTGTCATTTCTCATTGTGTGTTATGTCTGCATGTAGTGCAGTTCCTAGCCTGCCTGTCTGTTTTTTTCCCCCTCGGGGTGGTTTGAGTTTGTTTTTGTTTCATTTTATTAAAATAAAGAACCATTCATCCTGCACTTGAGTCCTCGCTTCATCTCCCCGCACGCACCGTGACAGTTATGCTTTTCTTCCACCAATTATCAATAAATACAGATTTTCTATTCACCAAAATACACCTGTTATTCCAGATAGACATGTTATGTGGGCTAAAATTATGTTTAAAAATCCATTTCCAATATAATAGTACTTGTTGATGAAAAGCAGAAAGTTTTATAGGGAGTTTAGAAAGTTCAAAATCACATTGCAACAAAAAACTAATACCACCACATTTTTTGAATATAGCTGTAGGATCCTCAAACCAAAATGAGGACTCATTATTAATGAAAGCTTGCAACTATTTAAGTTTTATAACCGCATTCATAATATCAAAGTCAACTGTTTTAAGACCACCCTCTTCGTAATCTTTAATCATATCTCTCTTATAAAATCTCTTATAATATCTCTCACGTATAAAATTACATTTAATTTTCTATATGAAATCAAAATTTAACTAATTTATTGCCTTTATCTTTTTAGCAGACACTGCTAAAGAAAAACATGGATCGATGAATCTAGAAAGACTTTCTACTTTCGTTAATAAAATTCTACAAAAGATCATTAAGTTAAGTATTTAATTTCATTTTTAACTGGGATATTGTACAATGATATACTAGGATGATCGTGAATGGCCAATAGCTCGCATTTTGACATATTCAGCCATAAACCTAAAGCTTTTGGAAAAAAAAAACATAGACTGGAGTGCTAAGGGAATTTGCTGTTCATTTCTTAAAAAAGAGTTGTATCCTCAGCAAACTGACTGATAATAAAATGATTCCCTTCTAAATCAATGCCAGATATGTTGCCCATTTTGACTAAGATAGACAACATTTCTGCAACCATAATAAAAAGTAAAGGTGAACAGCCACAACCTTGTCTAATACCTCTTTTGACAACGAATCTTGAACATGAGTAAGAGCTACAGAGCTGTTTATGTCTTTATAAAGCATTTTAACAATATTTATACATTTTGGACCAAAACCAAAGTGTTTAAGAGTTTGAAAAATAAAAGAGTGTTCCATCATGTCAAAGGCCTTATAGAAATCCAAAAATAAGATGAAACCATCTTCTTCAATTAGATGACCATATTCAATCAGATCAAACACTAGCCTAATATTATTATGAATTGATCTGTCCTTTAAAAATCCTGATTGTGTCACACTAATAATTTGTGATATTTCAGTTTTCAATCTAGAAGCCAGAGACTTGGTAAACAATTTGTAATCTGTATTTAGAAGTGTTATGGGACGTAAGCTATATAATATCCTCTTATCTTTACCTGGTTTTGGTAACAAAATTATAAGGCCTTGTTTCATAGTTGGTAATAGTTCGTCATTTCTTGTACAATCCTGTAAAGCTTCCAACAAAAGATATTGTAGGTCATCCCCCCAAAAAATTATAAAAATCTATGGTTAAACCATCAGGGCCTGCATGGTGATTTACCTGGTTTACTCTGTTTAATAGCTGCATCTAGCTCTTGTAAGGTTATGTCTGATTCACAAACTTATTTATATAGTGTATTTGAATGTAAAATGTAGTGACGGGGACACTATACTGTCAACAAGCACCGTCCTTCGGATGAGACGTTGGTGATTTCAAATATCAACATTGGCTACCAGAAATCACTTACTCTGCCTTTAATGTGGAGGACTTCAGTTCACGTGCGCCTCGCGCTGCGGTGTCTGTTGAGCTGAGGCGCTACAGCGATCTGTCACTCCACATTAAACAGCGCCAAAACG